GATTGATACACTATTTAAGAAAATATCATAACAATATCATAATTCATATATGATACTCCTTTCGTCCCGCTAACATTGTCACATCTATTATTTTATGTCCGTTTACTAAAATTGTCTCCTAACAAATTTGGTAAATTGTGTGAATCTAAAATCATACTCCCTCCGTCCCAAATGGTTTTGGAAAGTCAATATTTTTTGTCAACCAACAATAAAAGTCAATCCTCCCTATCGATAATTAACTCAATTTTTAATAATTAAAGTTTACATATTCAAAAACTACATTAAAATCTCTTCAAAGTTGCAAACTTCAAATTAAAATATAATTAAAAATTGACATCATAATTAAGCAAATAAAATGAATCTGTTTGACCACGAAAAGTCAAATTTGCAAATCAATTTGGGACAGAGATAGTATTTATTTTATCAATTTAATATCAATCACATAAACCCATTTTTCAATAATTGCACTACTTTCTCATGTCTCAATGTTAATAGACGAAAGTAGTAATTATTTAGAAAAAAACATACTTTAATATTGGGCAAAATATATCGCGCCACCAAACGTTAGTTAATATGACAAAGTTAATGAGTTTATTAAAAGTGTAAACCTGTCATGTCTCATTTTAGATGAATTCCGTACGAAAAATATCGAGTAAAGTGTCAGTTTGGTCCTCGAAGTTGCAAAAAAGGGGTCAAATAAATCCTTATATAGAAGATTCTGTCCGGACGTGCCATTTGAGGTGGCTCCCGGTAGAATTTTTTGATGAAATTTTTTGAGCATCTTATTCATTAAGTCTAGTTTACTCATACCAAATTTCAGCTAAAAATTCAATCGGGAAGACATTCAAATGAATTCTTGAAGATAACTGCGTTTTTAATGGCACAGTTATCTTCCAGAATTCATTTGAACTTCTTCCCGATTGAAATTTTATCTGAAATTTGGTATGAGTAAACTAGACTTAATGAATAAGATGCTCAAAAAATTTCATAAAAATATTCCACCGGGAGCCACCTCAAATGGCACGTCCGGACAGAATTTTCTATATAAGGACTTATTTGACCCCTTTTTTGCAATTTCGAGGACCAAACTGACCCTTATCCCGAAAAATATCATTCTATTCGAAAACATGTTATGAATCCATTATGATCACGTACAGTATTGTGCCTTTTGGATTTCATTGCCCAAACCTACAATTTTTTTTTTTTTGAGAGGAGCCCAAACCTACAATTGTATTGAAAGATTGGCTCAAATATTACTTCTAGCAATTTAATAGACAAAAACATGACTTATTTCTATTCGGACAAAAGGTGACTCATTATAAAGGAATGGACAGAAATCATAGCCGCCTTCGGACAATTACCGCCTTCGGGACTTGGGGTTGGGAGAATTATTACCAAACAAAAATCATACTATTTTTCGGTTTGGTTCGGTTTAGTTCGGTTTGGTTCAATTTGGATTTGTTATTTTTTGATAAAAATATGAAGGATGTTTTTGAATTTCTTTAGTTTGGTTCGGTTTTTATCGGTTTGGTTTAATATGGGTTGGAAGAAATGCTACCAAACTCAAACCAAATTGCATACGGTCTGGTTTCGGTTTAGTTTGGTTTGGTATGATACGGTTCGGTTAAACCAAACCGTTATGTCCACCCCTAGTTATAATTATAATTTCTTTTGGAAATAAAGTCGCTTATATTGATCTTATCAGTATCAGGATTCCCACGTCAAACAAAGAACAAACATATATCTAACACCAACTAGCCTCCACCCCTCTGCATATAGCAACATGATTGCTAACCACGAAACGTGCTAGACACAACTATCACTACTCCTATAGATTCATGTACTTCTAACGACATAAAAATAAAATAAATTTACAATCACTCCGCAAACCTAGCAACATAGACTTTAACAGGAAATCAAACAACATATAAAGCACATAACTAAAGTAAACCAAGAGAAAAGATAGTATTTTATAGGAGCTCCACACAGTCCCGTTGTAGCAGTATCCGTGAAACGTCTTATTCCAATCCATAACCACTCGTCTACTCCCATGTGGCGGTTTAGGAGGAGATGCAAATCACCACCCATAACATTTATGAAAAGCCAAAAGCTATCTCTGATGCTTCCCCCTTTATGATGCTTCCGCACAAGTCAGATTGATTTTTCATAGGCCTGGGACCGGTTCTGTTCCTAGGCAAAATATGTGGAACCGTTTGAAAATATGAAATTTTACTAACGGTTCGGTTCTTATAAATTATTTTATAGAACCGTTAAGGAACCGAACCATTCTTAACGGTTCGGTTCTTGTTATTTAACGGTTCCTATTCTTTAAAAAATTTCTTACAGATCACGATTAAATTTGTGCCAAAAAGACATTCAACGTTTGAAATTACAATACAAATATGTTGAACATCATTTCAAACATCAATAGTTGAGTTTAACACACAAATACATACCAAACTGCAAATTTTAGTAAATAAAATAAAACAAGATATTCACCAAAGAAGCCCAAGAGAACCGATTAAAATGAAAAATAATTTTAAATAGTTAAATAACTAAACTAAAATAGTGAATGTAATATAAAAATAGATAAGTAATATACATTAAAATATATATACTAATAAGAAATATATAAAATTTTAATTATTATATATAACGGTTCCTTAATGGTTCCATGTACATAATTTTTTCAGGAACCGAGAACCGAACCGTTAATAAAAAATAGGAACCGAACCGTTAACAAATAACTAATAAATTTTGGAACCGAACCGAACCGGGTCATAACGGTTCGGTCCGGTTCGGTTCTCCGGTTCTTGGTTCCAAAGTCCCAGCCCTAATTTTTCAGATGTCAATGTACTTGCTAGTGACAACGTCACACTGGTTGTCCTGAATTTACCGCTCCACCAGTAGGACTTCATCTTCTTCGGTCTTCTCCTCGTGGTTCTGTGATGTACGAATATCATTCATCGCCTCTCAAACTATCGCCTCTCAAACTGACAAACGATTGGCGTGCCACAAGGCCGTTGTAAAACATTCATACCTCTCCCTTGCTTTCAATCACCAAAACGAGATACAATCCATTGGCCATTGCCCTAAAGAGGCGACAGTGATCTCCCAAAAAAAACTAGATAGATGCTAGGGCATGCCACTGTTGAGTAGTTCCTGGTTATAATTATAACTATAATTATAATTATCGCAATATTAATAAAAATAGTAATAATAACAGTAATTATTATTACTATTTTATTTTATAATAATAATTATTATTTGCGTAACATTATTAACTCAATTAAATCCTAAATATTCAAATCTGATCAAATTAGAAAAATTCAGATTAAATCAGAAAGATTCAAATAAAATGAATAGCTAGAACATCTTCACAGTTGTAATGTTAGTCACATTTTTTGAAATAGTAAAAATATGTCATTTTTTTTGTCAACTATACACTTTTTAATAATATCAGGTAACCTAGCCAAGAAAGAATGGCCAATATATTACTAATGGACTTTTGAGTTCCAAAAATGAGTCTTTTGATTCCCTGCACCCCCCCCCCCCAAAAAAAAAAACAAATATGACTCATCTTCCTAATTGATCCACATCCTGCGCAACCCATCCAATTTCTTTGCCTTCACCGGTCAACTACCGACGTGCACAGCCATCCACACCCCCAACCAGCGGGGTGTGCACTCTGATAAGTCATTGTCCCCGTGCATCTCTTCTTAATTTGTCCACGTGTACCTTCTTTTCTTCTATTTCTGTCGTCCACATTTCAAGATTTGTGGTAGTGAGCCGGCCAGGGCTGGTTGAGGATCGACACAGGGCTATCTAGGGTTGGGTGGTGGCGACTAGGGCAAGGACTAGTTGGCGATTTTGACGGAGACAGGTTAGGGTCTTAGGGTAGTGGGTTTGGGGTGGGGTTGCTGCAGTGTGGGGTTGCTGCAGTGTGGGGTTGGAGTTGGGGTGCCGGGGCGTGGGTTGGGAGGGACAGCGGCTGGGGCGGAGATGACGATGGGACAACGGTGGTGTCGGCGGGGTGGCCAGTGGCCAATGGCGGTGGATTGGTATTGATAGCATGGCGGCGGTTAGTAAAAAGGCCGTCGGAAAATTTTCCGGCAATCACAATGACATGTTTCAGGAGTAGTGACATTCTAAAATGACAAAAAATCTGGTAGTGACAAATCACAGCAACATAAAAATATGGCAGTGACAAAAAAAATCGCAATAAATATTTTTAGAGATATATGACCTTTTATATAATATTTTTTCCCTTTTATAAATATGATATTTTACCATTTAATATTGGGTATTTATTTGGTCCACATTTTCAAATATGACCTTTTTAAACATATTCTTTTTTCCTTTTATAAATATGATCACATTTTTGGAAATTGACTTTAATTTAGTAATAATTGAAGAAAAAGTCTACTCCATAATATTTAAAAGAAATAACCCTCATACTCCGTATAATTTTATCTTAATTAATAAATGTTCACAAATAAAGTTACTTTTCCATTTAATATTGGGTATTTATTCGGTCCACATTTTCAAATATGACCTTTTTAAACATATTTTTTCCTTTTATAAATGTGATCACATTTTTGAAAATTGACTTTAATTTAATAATAATCGAAGAAAAAGGGATTTTTACAAGAATATTACTAAAATAAAACTTATTTACATAAATATGACTATTCATTACTACAACGTAGTGTTGTGGTAACTAAAGTTCAAAACTTGAACATGAATTACTATGATTTTATTACTATTCTAATAACTAATCATATTTTTGTAAATCATCTTTACTTTGATCATATTTATGCAATTATTTCAAGAAAAAGTCGTACTCCGTAATATTTAAAAGAAATAACCCTCATACTCCGTATAATTTTAACTTAATTAATAAATGTTCGCAATTAAAGTAATTTTACCATTTAATATTGGGTATTTATTTGGTCCACATCAAAGATTCACATTGACTAACAAGGCAATTAATCAGGGATTGACAAAGACTTGCACAGTTCATCTTTCTCATCTGAGCAGGGTCCGTTCAATACTCCATTTCATACTCCTTAGTTTTTTTGGCTCGACCTCCCCGCTGTTGGGTGCGAATCTCGTTTCATTCCTAACTCTTTTTCAGCACTTTAGAGCTTTTTACCACAGACTTCACGTCCTCATTCACTCTCCCTCCCTCCGTGCTTGCATTTATGCGTCTGGTTTCTCTGTAATTCTCTCTCGTACTGTATTTTTTTTTTATTCTAGCTTGTGTGTATGTGGACGCATTTGTTATAGTTAATCACTCTACGATTTTGTTTGTTTTTTCATGATTAAAGGAACAGCTGAAGCTTCATTTTATCTCCGCCGTCAAATTTGGGCTGGGTTCTCAAAATTGTTAGGTGGGTTTTATTGCGATTTCGTCAATCTGTACGATTATATGCTTTTCTGGTTCGTATCTCAGGTGTAAAACCCTAATCCTTGTTTGCATGGAGCGGTTGATCATAAGCTATAAAGTTTTTTCATTTTCGATTCACTGATTACTTTCCTACACATATGCTTGATTCTGGCGTAGTGAAGATTAGAGTGAATATGTAATGACATCTGGCATTCTGTGCTTGAACATCTCTGCTGTCTATGTTGTCAGGGATACAGAGTCATTAATATTGCTGAAAGTAACAATCTTTTATGTGATTAATATATAGCTCTTGGGCGTCCTGTGGGGAGATATATAGAATACATCTTTGCATCTTTTTCCAAAAATAATTAGCACAGGGTGAAATTCAGGCAACTAACAAGGATACAATGATGTTACATAAATTGTATAGTTGTGAATTTGGAGAAGGTTGTACTTGACTAGGGTGGTTGGCATCTGGTTTTGAGTTTTCACTTAGGTTGGTAACATCATATGAGTTGGAACATGGCGCTTGCAGACGCTGTTGTGATTATTGTTTACCTAGGCTCTAAATTTCTTTACAAGCATCACATTGTACATTGTCTAAGTTCATGTACAATGGATTGAGCTTTGCCAATGTTAGACTCAATGGTTCACAACATTGATTGCAAGAAATAAAAAATGTGATCAGACTTATCAAAGAATTAATTTGCACACATGGTAAATTGCTTGTAATTATTGTAACAGATTTACACCCAACTGGACGGAGTTGAATTAGGTACGTACTAGGACTGGAGTGTACTACGCACTCAACCAAGTTTAGGGTCTTAAAAATGCCTACCCCCAATTAAAAAAAAAAAAACTGATCTGTAAAAGTGACTTTTACTGCATGATGTTTAGCTAAAGGTACCATATTAAAAAAAGTAAATATGGAGATTTGTTATTATTATTTCTGTTGTTACTATTACTACTGCTACTATTGCTATAATCATTGGGGTTAGATTATCATGAGAAGCTACACACACAGCCTTCATATCTGTGACCTGACGTATTCAATTATCATATAAAGTCTTACCAGCAAGGCCACAAGTTCAAAAGCTATTTAAAAGCTTGTTTAGTAGTTGGTTTTGTACATAGAATTAGATGATGAGTCCTCATCACCATGGAGATTCTAGAGGAGATGAATCTTCTCAACAATAAATGGTGTTGCTTGATTCACACATAGATGGTCCGATTTAGTGGGAAAGGTTTGGTTTGGTTTACTTTAGTTGCTTGTGTTGCATTTCATGGGACCGCATAAACTGTATTGTTTTTTTGTTGTTTGTCTGATGCCTTGAGTTTGTCACTGCTTAAGATCCCTCAAGTATCTTGACTATTGCTTCTCTGAATCCTTGCAACGTGTTAAAAGATCATGCATTGGGAAAAAATGCAGGCCTCCATATTACTTTGTGAAAACAGCATTCAAGTTCATCTATGTCTTGTTTGCTTTGAACTTTTTGGTTCTTACTTTCCTGATGACAATGCAGGTTGTTCTTGTTGGTTTCTCTTGTTCTGTCAAATTACCTCACGAAATGGCAGACCCTTTGTTAGATATGGATGCCATTGACTGGACCTCTGAAGATGAGCAAGATATTGAGGGCATACCTGTAGGACAGGCCACTACTGCTAACAATGAGGTACAACTAAAAATCTAAAAGCTTTTAGTGATGAAAAGTCTATTCATTTTGTGACATCAAGTCAATGAGTCATTCAACTTTTACTGTGTTTGGGTACCTGTGGCCGTGTGCGTGTTTATTCATTCATCCTCTCATTCTCTGTTAGCTGACTGAGGTATTCGTTAGCTACTCTGTGCAATCTCACTTGATTCATTTCTAATGTCCTCTAAAGTTGTCAGCTAATGTTCTCAAAAGTTGTCAGTTTCAGGAAAACCATCACATTAAAGAATTAAAAAATTCTGTTTTGTTAATAAAGATGAATGATATGGTTGGGCCTTTTCTTTTGGAGCTCTTAGTGCATCATAATTGATAATTCACAAATTGAAGCATATGCTTGTTATGGTACTTTTGATGAAGTCAGTATTTGAATTTTGAAATAAGCATCTAAGATATCTGTCTTTATTTCTTTCCGAAGGGAAAGATGACAAATCATATAACCTTGTTATGAATTCCTGCTATGGTCCTCAACATATAGTGAAAACTACTTAGAGATCTTGAACTTTTAGTTGTACTAATTGCAGACCTGAAATATTTAATAGTTAGATTTCACTGCCTGCTAAGCATAAGATTTGCTCGCTAGTTAATGGTAAAGTACATGTCACAATGTCATAAGATTTGTACTAGTGAGTAGTGATTCACTACTCATTAGTTAAATAAGAATGATAAAGTTAATACATTCATGTGAGATAAAGGTTATCCATTTCATTTCATGATCGGACACTTCTCATATGGTGCAATTTATTTGTTCGTTAAGTTATTATTTCTCAAATAAAAATTTCTGCTGGTTTGTTTTAAATAGAAGAATAACGTAAAACTATAAATAGTGGAAAATCAGCATCAAAGGTTTCATATTTATTTTTTGTGCCATCTTGGAACCAAAACTTTTCCACATACAGTTGCAATAATCTGGAGAAAGTACTACATGTATTTTTTACTCAAGTTCCTATGGAAAAATGTTCCACCTCGCCCGTTTGCAATTTCTAATAGTCTACCTAATTTGATTAGTTAATGAGACCCCCATTTTCATAGTGCAAGATGTTACCTAAGAGTTACCGTTGGAGTGTTACACATATAAGACAATTACTTTTTTCTTCCCAGGAAGTTGGTTTCATATATTTTGATTTCTATTTGTTCATTATCATCCACACCTTTATCCCAATTATGAGGGGGTCGGTGTCCTTCTCTTATCACTATAATAAATAGCTTTTGTTTCGTATTCAAAGGCAAGCTCATCATCAGTTAATCCATGCTCCAAGATGATTCAGAATTTTGTTGGGATGGGATTTTCTAGAGAATTAGTTGAAAAGGCCATAGAGCAAAATGGTATATGATCATTTATCCTTGAGCAACAATTATTACTACTTTTGAAACTATCATTTGATATCCTTACTTCATGACACAGGAGAAGACTCAGAATCTATATTGGAAACTCTTCTGACGCTCTCGGTTAGTAATTTTCCCTCATTCTAGGAAATTTCTATCCATCTGATTTTGTTCATAAATTATCTATATAAAATAGAAAGCATGGGTTGGCATGAAATGTATCTGTTTTAGATCGTAAGAACTAAGAAGAATGAATGTCTGAAACTTTTAGTATAATTTCCTTTGCTTTCAGTGGTCTTCCTGAATAGTTGCAGGACAAAATCTATCAAGTTGCTGACACATGCTACATTAAAAGATCATAAAATAGAAACAAAAGAGAAGATTGAGGAGAGTAATATGACTGTTTGATTTTCCCAAAAATGTTTGATTGATATTATTTTGATTTGATTTCAATTCCATCATTAGCTTGTGTTTATTTTTAATTGGTATGTTAGGATTCCTTTATTTCTAAAATAAGAATCGGGAAGATATCTTAAATATTACAAACTCAGAAATAAGCGATTGACTAAAATATGGAAAGCTAAATAATAGAAAACAACTGGGTTAATGAAAGCTAATTACATGGAAACAACTAGGATAACTTGTGGTCCAATTAATTAGGCCCTTTACCTCTCGCTTGTATAAACTATACACCGTCAAAGTGCCCTTTATCATTAAATTCTTAGATACTTCAAGAAGATGAGGATCGCTGACACTTTGTTATTATTGCAATCATTGAGTGCCAAAATCAATTTTTCACGCTTGAGAATAAGCTTGATAAGCTTATTGCTGCATTGCTACATGATAAGCTTACAGGAAGAATTAAGAGTAATAAAGTAGAAGTTTGGTGATTGATTTGCTCAGATATGGTGGATGATAATATTTTAATTTAAGCTTAATACCTTAATTAATGTAACTATTATAGGAAGTGATTTGTTGGATTTTCTTGCTTTCCATGTTTTAGGTAAAAAGATGCATTTAATCCCATTATGAAAGGGAGCTTTGCTAATAATAAATGCAAGCAAGAATTAAGAACAAAATAATATGGAAATTCCTCAAATTTCAAAAGCAAAAGAGAAGTAAGACTATGAAAAATTATATTGTCCCCTTTGTTTAATCCTTTTAAATTGTTCCACGTGACATGAAGAATCCTGTTGTATAGCAGTTGCACTCTTAATCTGCCTGCAGTAAGGATTTTGTTTGCATCTAGCTAATTATTCATCAAGGCCCTATGGAGAATTTACTTTAGTTATCGACATTCGACACATTTAGGAAATATAATATGAGAAATATCAAGTCCTGACTTCTTTCTTCAGGTAAGCCAGCCAATTAATTTGTTTGGCTTCCAATACATGGCATTATTTGGGTGGTTGGTGTTACAGCTATGTGAAAGTTGTTTAGAGAATGAATTAGCTCCTAGTAACACTATGATTATCCTTATTTTTCTTGCAATCTTCACACCTTTGTCTTGTTATTCATGCTAGTCTCCATGACTGAACTATTGTGAATTTAAAAAACCAAAGTTTGTGACTATAGTGGTGTTTTTTTCCATTTTCACTCAGTGGTTAAACATGGTTGCTGTTTTATAGATAAATAGCTGCCACCCTGTCTCAAGTCCGCTCTATAGAGGATTCCAACTCTTGTACCTATATTTGATTAAATGTTTTCACATAATTGGAGCATTGTGTCAATTGCATTTGTCTTTGCCGGTTAAGAATGATTCTAGTTTGCTATGTGTTATCCAGACTTTATTTATTAACTTCTTGTGCTGCTTATTATTTGATAACAAAAACATTGCTTATACGTCTAGATTGTAACTTTATGATGACTATTCGCTTTGTTATTATGCTTTTATCTTAGTGATTATGGAAATGAGAGTTTATTGTACAATCTCTTGTTCTTGTACATTAGTAAGTCTACTTCTTAGTCATGCTTAATCTAGGGTTTGATTATTGAGGTAGCTTTCTTATTCCATATTTGTATTCACTTACTGTTCAGGTTCTTGAGACTTCTCCTTGTGAACAACCATATGACAGATGTCCTCAAGAACAGCCTTGTGTCAATGATGATAATAGCTCTTCAGACTATGATGAGGGTATTTTGGGTGACTTAAGTGATACAAATAGTTGGTCTGATGATGATGTGGTATGTTTTTCCATGTTTATAAAATTCTATGGTATTATATATACTAGTCAGTCCTAATAACGATTTCATGTCAACCTTTACTGTGTCCTTGAATCATCAATGCTATACATTCATTGTAAAACACGATAAATATGGTGTTGTAATATGCATCTCATATCAGTTAAATGTAAAATAATTAACCAACTATAAAATCTTGTTGTATTACTCTTATCAGTTCAATCTTTTTGGATGAAAATCAATATTTAATTTGGTATAAAATTCTGGTGCTCTTGTTGCTTGTTTGTGTTTTTGGCCCACATGGTTTGTGGTAGCCTTGTTGGGGCCGGTTTGACTCACATTCACCTTCAATTTGTTCTGGTTTGAGCTGAGTGTTTCAAGTATTTGTCTCACCTCAGATAAATATGAAATAATAAACTAACATATAAGATTTTGGGTTACTTGTTTTATTAGACTAACCTTTTTGAATGGAACCCCAACTCCCAAGTCATAATATAATATGGGTTACTAATATCCCATCTATTGGGTGTTGTTTCATTTTTATTGATTTGGCACAAATGAAACACTTATTCTTACTCAATGTAACATGCCAAATGCATTTTTAATATTGAGATGTTATATATATAATGATATTATAGAGATTCTTGTGACTGTTGAGTTTAGCATCAATTTCTCAGTTTACTCTCAAATAGAAGTTACCGATACAGGCTTGACTCATTTTCAATGTGTGTGATGCTATGAAAAATTTCATCTAACTCAATAAGCCGATCAGTGGTTGGCAAACGTACCATGATAAAACAAAAAGAACCCACTAAAGTTATAGATCAATATCAAACGTGTATAAAAAGATAGGAGTAGTGGAGTATCCAACAAGCTAGGATGTAGTGAGAGAATATGCAAACTATGAGTCAAAGTTATTGTGGTGGATGGCCTTTGCATGTCAGGGGTGCATCATTTTCAAACAGTTTTGCTAGTACATTGAGAAAGAAAGCTTTTGGGAACTAGTGCCGAACTGATATGGATAAACTGATTGCTATTGCTTTCAGGAAACTATTGTTTCCTTGCCTGACAGAGAGAGAACACTGTTATCCCTCACAAAGATGGGATATCCTGAAGAAGAGGCTTCCATGGCTATGGAGAGATGTGGTATGCACTATGTAAAAAAAAACTTTTTATGCTTTGCTATTATATGTATGTACTATAAGAAACTACCCCAAACAGGAGTACAACATAGGACAAATTCAGAAACAGGGCTAGATATTTTATATTCCCAAAGTAGTAGTTCCTATTTTTTTCTACCCTTCCCCACCTTTTCCCTTTCCCCCTTCCTCCTCCCTCTGTTGATCTAACTTTTCTTCCTCCCATTCTATTTTCTCCCTCTTGTTCTCCTTCTCCAACACCACGGCATCCCACTTCATCTCACATCTCCTCCAACACCAACAGCGACTGCATATTACAACTGCAACAACAGCAGCGGCGAGCATTTCCCCCTCTCTCCCAAATTGTGAAAACTACCCGCGAACATCGTCTCACTCTCTTCTTTGCAATTGAAGAGATTACCACGGCAGATCCATCAAATCTAACCATTCTTTTCTTTTACTTATTGTTTCCACCATGAAAGTTCAATTTCATTGCCCCGTCACCGCTGCCAATCGCAGATTGACAGTTGCTGCTGTTAGCCAATTTCAGGATAGCAATACTTGGCCAATGATCGTCAAAATTTGGGATGACAGATTTTGGCCCGGGGTGGTCGGACGGAGTTCATAATGGATGTATAGCTTCAAGATGACTATGGTTTCTGGATGATTGTATTTGGCCGGCAGTCATCAGAATCTAGGGTGATAATATGGCTTCAAGATAGGGTGTGAGGATGGTAGTATTTGGTCAGAATCTGGCAGCAGCTATCAGAGACCAGTGGCAGTTCATTTTATTCTAACTTTTCACTGTACAATTTAAAGTATATAGGTCAGTGTATTTTTTGTCCATCTATACAACATTTACTCTTGCAAAACATAATACTCCTCTTTAGGGAACACATTTATGCTTTACTCTTATTTAGGGAGTTCCCTATAATGCAGTCCAGTTCCCTGGACTCTGTTATTCAAAAATGCCCTCTGTCGTATTTGGCATGTTATGTTGCGGTTTATCAGTCCCTAACTCGCTCTTCTTTCTTCAGTTATATTTTTAACTATAGTTTATAATATTGAATTTGGACTTAATAGATATATTTATAATTTTTTAAATATATGCATTTTATATATACTACTCCCTCCGTCCCTGTTATATCTTCCAAATAGGTTTGGCACGGAGTTTAAGATAGTGGGTATTGTGTGGTGGAGAGTTGTGCAGAGAAGAGAGAAATGTGTAAGAATTACTGTGAACCACAAATTCTGGCCAAAAAAGGAAAGCGGAAGTTTTAATTGGGACGGACGAAAAAGGAAAGTTGGAAGTTTATTTAGGGACGGAGGGAGTACAAGTTAGAAAAAAAATATTGTGCTCCCTCCATCCCCATAAAGCTTCACTATTATCTTGTTGGCTTCTTCACAATATACTTAACCTTTCCCTTTTCAGGAAAGAATGGCATGGATGACATTTTTCTTTCCTTTTTCCTAAAATTTCAACCAGACAATTTTACTTCCGTAATGAGAATTCCACCTCCCATTATGAACTGTGAAGTGTTAATAGTTAAGGAGGGTTTAAATAACTTGAGTCCAATGTACTTGTGTATCTAAAGACTAATTTTTTAACTGTGATGTTTTGGTGTTTTGGTTTCCATCAATGTACTAGTGATTCTTTCCGGGTGTTTCTTTTTATCTAATGTGTGTTTCGTTTTAATAGTTGTTGTTCATTATATGAAACTAATCAATCTAATCCTAATTAATCTATTCACGTAAATTTTAGGGCCAGAAGCCACAATTGCGGAATTGACAGATTTCATATGTGCTGCTGAAATGGCAAGATCAGAAGCTACATATTGGCAAGAAGATGATATCAAAGTATGTTTCTTTATAATGTTTGACCAAGAATCAAGTAATTTTTTTAGTATTTTCATTTTAACTTCTTCAGTCCGAATGAAATGGTGTGTCGTGGTACTTATACGCTCTGTTCTAAAAATTGTTCTAGGCGTCCGACTAGTCCCCGCCTAGGCGCTAGGCGGTGATCGGGCGCCCCGATTTTCGTCTAGGCGCTCCGACTAATTGGTTAGCCGCCTAGGTGAGTTAGTTAGCCGCCTATGGCGCCTAGTTGCCCGCCTATAGCGCCTAATCGGCCGCCTAGACCTTCTAGATTCGCCAAACATTACTTTACTTTTCAATTTTAATTTTCTAATCGTTATATGTACTTTAACTTTAGCCATAAATATTACGAAATGAAGTTGCAAATTAAGATAAACCTATATATGTTTGTAGATATACCCAAATTTTATCATTATTTATATTTATAACATTATGAAGTTAAGTGAGTAGGTATCATGTTTGTTAATGCATATGTATATGTTTGGTACACACAAAAATACAATATTACCTATCATATTTATGCAAAAATATAGATAAAAATGAAATTTATATGTCTCCGACTAGTCCCCGACTAGGCGCCCGCCTAGCCGCCTAGGCGCTAGGCGCTAGGGTGGCGGCCGACTAACGCCTAGCGCCTTTTAGAACATTGCTTATACGTAACTGGCTATTCATCCTTATTATTATTGTTGCAGCCAAAAATCAAGAGTTTCTCAGGTGAGAACAGTAAACATAAGAGGAAACTTTACGCATATGAGATGTATAAGAAGAAAAAACAGAGGGGTATGTTCGATGAAGAGGTTGAGACGATTCGGCTGCCAAAACCAATGGTGGGATTTGGTGTGCCCACAGATATATGCCCAGTGTTTCAAGGGAGAACTCTTCCGGAGCAGGCAGTTGGCCCTCCCTACTTCTACTATGAGAATGTTGCACTAGCTCCCAAAGGTGTCTGGGACACTATCTCTAGATTTCTCTATGAAGTGGAACCTGAGTTTGTAGACTCAAAGTACTTTTGTGCTGCTGCAAGGAAAAGGGGGTATATTCATAACCTACCCGTTGAGAATCGGTTCCCTCTCCTTCCCATTCCACCACGCACCATACATGAAGCCTTGCCGTTAACCAAGAAGTGGTGGCCCTCATGGGATCAGCGCACCAAGCTCAATTGCTTACAAACTGCTATCGGCAGTGCTCGGCTGTCCGATCGAATTCGCAAGGCTGTCGAAGCCTATGATGGCGAGCCGCCTGAGAAGGTGCAAAAGTATGTGCTCTATGAGTGTAGGAAATGGAATCTAGTGTGGGTGGGAAGAAACAAGGTAGCCCCTCTTGAGCCGGATGAGATTGAATACCTTCTTGGCTTCCCCAAAAACCACACGAGAGGCGGTGGGATAAGCAGGACTGACAGATACAAATCTCTCGGAAATTCATTCCAAGTCAGTATCCATTCCTTCATCTACTCTAAGATTTATACATGCACAGTAACACAAAAGCACACATAGGACTTAGTTTATATTCCCCTTACAATAGACAATAAGTATAGTTGTGAATGTTAACATATTAGCATGCACCTCAATGTTTTTCAATTAATATAATATGTGGTCCCCACTTTTAAATCATTATCACATTTTTTTTAAAATCAACCAAGGGCTGTATCTCCCTTTAGGGTAATCTGTCTCTAAATCTTCCTACACCATCATTTATGAATTTTTGGATCGTTCCCACCTACCATTACCACAGATAAATTGGATTCATATTTTACTCTTGGATGATTTTAGCAAATAATTCCCACCTCATCCCTATATAATCTCATAATGAGGATTCCAGAACAATTACAAGTGTCTATATTTCTCCTTATTCGTATTACTCTGTCCTTATAAAAAGTTCTAGCTTGACTTTCACTTGTTTTAAGGAAGTCAGAACTTTCTGTAACTTCCATAATTGTCCTTTTTAGGGAGGATGAATATTACTTTAGAATGTGCTGTCTTGACACTACAGTATTGTTACCAGATAAGAGTAAATGAGACTAATAAGATCCTTTTACCAAACAAAGAAAGAAGGGTTTATTTAGGGATGTCTCAAAAAGACATACGCGAAGATTAAACAGAGATGGAGGTGGCATGTGCATGCGTGTTAATACTTCTTGCTATGTTTAAGTGGACATTAGCTTGTTTATGAATGTTAGCAGTAAATAACATGTACAAATGTCAATATCTCTCAACAGGTCGATACTGTGGCATACCATTTGTCAGTATTGAAGGACTTGTATCCGGACGGGATGAACGTGCTGTCTCTGTTCTCTGGGATTGGAGGTGGCGAAGTGGCCCTGCACAAGCTCGGGATTCGGCTGAAGACTGTGGTCTCCGTTGAGAAGTCTGAAGTCAACAGAAACATCGTGAGGTCCTGGTGGGAGCAGACTAATCAAACTGGGAACCTGATTGACTTCGATGACGTGCACGTGCTGGATAAAGACCGGCTTGAGAAGCTGATTCATTCCATTGGCGGGTTTGATCTGGTGATTGGGGGAAGCCCTTGCAACAACTTGGCGGGGAGCAACAGGGTTAGCCGGGATGGGCTGGAGGGTAAAGAGAGTTCCCTGTTCTTTGAGTACTTCCGGATTTTAGATGCAGTTAAGAGTATTATGTCCAGATACCAGTAGTAGTTTGCACTTGCACAAACTTAAAAAAAAAATTATGTATTCTTCTTTTTCTGACTTCTATACATTATTGTATTGTGAATTATGGGTTAATTAACTTATTCTTTTTTTCGTATAAAATCAAATCATTGGAATGCTGACATGTATCAAAGCTACTCAGGGACGGAGCCAACAAGGGGAGGTGTGGTGTCAATTGACACCACTAAATTTTTTTTTCCCTATAAGTATATAAATTTTTTGAAAATTCTAAAATTTACACCACTGAAGAATAAAAATTATTTGTATAGGCGTATGTGATGTTTCATAAATTATAAATTGACACCACTCCATTAATTAAAGAAAATGGAGCAATGTAAAAAAATTTGAAAATTGGAACACCAACTTAAGTCAATTGAAAGTCAGGCAATTGAAAATCGGAACGCCAACTTAAAACTGAAAAACGAGTTGCAGCTCAAATACTCTTGCAATTGATCCAATCTTTTGATTTTGCTTTCACCTTACACTTGATAAACAAATGAGTTGTCAAAATCTTTACAGAGAAAGGATCAAGATAGTGTTTACGCTATGGAATTGGTTAAAGTTGCCAAAGAACGACAATATTTGCTATGTTTGCTTTATGTGTTTATAGATTATTATATAATACTCCCTCCGTCCCGCTAAGATTTTCTCAGACACTATTCACTTGATTAATACAAATTACTCTTAATCTTTTATTTTAGGGAAAATCGCACTTTTAGTCCCTGAAATAGTCACGAAAATGAAATGTCGGACCCGTATATCTGATATTGTAAATGTCATCCTCAATTGTCCAAATTGTTGTAAATGTGATCTTTTAAGGGGTGAAATATACTCTCACCCACATTGTATATTTCACCCCTAAATGGACCGCATTTAGGGCATTTAGGACAATTGAGGGATGATATTTACAAACTTGGGAATACGGGTTGAACATTTCATTTTCGTGACTATTTCAGAGACTAAAAGTGCGATTTTCTCTTTATTTTATATATCAAATTTTTATCAAATTTGATTCTGGTTTTTGCGACTTTGTAAAGTTTTTTTTATGTAGTTTCTAAATATGTGATTTTTATTTTCTAAAAATAATTTGAGTGCGTACAAGAATTAGTTTTATTTATCGTCGGTTAAACATCATAAACCGAATTGTCCCAAACATAGGGGGGCGGATGTAGTAGTATTCTGCTTAAAAATAGTGCTTTGTTAAATTGACATCACTGACACCGGTTCCTGGCTCCGTCCCTGAAGCTACTGTTGAAATTTATGTGCCTCAGAAAGGCCATTATTATATCCGGGTACTGTTATGAACGTAGCAAGAAGAGAGAAATACATTCATAACAAACAGAAAAAGATGGATATAGCAGCAAGAAGGAATAAGGAAGAAGAAGTTTATTAGCTCAGCAATGCCCCGTTCTGATGATACAGCCAGCCTTTATACAATCCTCAACCGACTAACTACCATTCGGTTATTAGTAATTGGACTATAACAAACAACAAAGAAAGAAATGGATATACAAGTGGCCCATCAAATCTACTTAGGCCCAAATAAAGAAGGCTTAATTGTAACATTGCCCCCTCCTTTCTCCAAAGCTTGTCCCCAAGCTTTTATTTCTGGAAACTGCTTAACTATCCTATCATAGTCTTCCCAAGTAGCTTCATCTTGGTGCAAATGTTCCCATTTTATCAGCCATTGTACTACTGCTGCATTGTTTCTCTTGACTATCCTTCTAGCCAATACTCCAGTTGGTATTGCCATTGTATTCCCATCTTCATTCATCATAGGTATTTTGCTAGTTACAATGTCTGTCAATCCCACCCTCTTCTTCAATACTGAAACATGAAACACTGGGTGTATTTTACTACCCTCTGGTAATGCCAATCTATAAGCCACAGCTCCTACTTTTTCTGTTATAGGGAAAGGTCCACAGTATTTAGGACTTAGTTTCCACAGATTGGACTTTCTCATACTCCTTTGTCTGTAAGGTTTGAGTTTCAAGTAAACCCAATCCCCAACTGCAAACTGCCTCTCCAGTCTTCCTTTATCTGCTCTCTCTTTCATTCTTTGTTTAGACAAGTTGAGATTGTATTTTAATTTCTCTGAAATTAATTGTCTTTTCTCCAATTCATGCTCCACCCCTACTACAGTTAGTTCACCATAAGGACCAAGATTTAGAGTAGGAGGTTTGTACCCAAACAGAGCCTCAAAAGGACTCATTCCAATGGCCGTATGGTGACAACTATTGTACCACCATTGAGCTAGGGAAAGCCAATTACTCCATTCTCTTGGAATCTGCCCACTCATACACCTGAGATAGTTTTCTAGGCACTGATTAACTCTTTCAGTTTGCCCATCCGTTTGTGGGTGATAAGATGTACTCAAGTGATGCTTTACACCCATTGCCTTAAACAGTTCTGTCCAGAACAAGCTGGTGAAAATCTTGTCTCTGTCAGATGTTATGGATTCTGGTAATCCATGGAACTTGCCAATATTATTGATGAATATTGATGCTATTTTTGGAGCAGTGTAGGGATGAACTAGGGCTACAAAATGGGCATATTTAGTATACATGTCCACTACTACTAAAATGGCATCATACCCATTAGATTTTGGAAGTTTCTCAATAAAATCCATAGTAATGTGTTGCCATGCCTGCTGAGGTACTGGTAATGGTTGTAACAGTCCAGGATATTTAGAATTCTCATGTTTACATATCTGACAGATAGAGCAATTTCTCACCACTTGTTGTACTGTCTGTTTCATCTGTGGCCACCAAAACATGCTCATAATCCTGTGTAGAGTAGCTAATTCCCCTGAATGTCCTCCTGTTGCACTTTCATGTATCATTGTCACCATTTTCTTCCTTAGATCCCCTGTTGTCCCTACATACAACTTGTTCTTATATCTCAGCATTCCATTGTAATAAGAAAAGTAGCTCATGTTATAGGGAGCAGCCAACTTTTGTAAGACAGCTTCTTCAGCTTCCTCATCCCCTTGGTAACTCGATATTAATTCCTCTTGCCATACAGGTTTAATTGCAGATATCATACTGCAATGTCCATCTTCCTCATTACCTGTGATATCCCTTCTAGATAGGGCATCTGCCACTTTATTCTCATGTCCTTTTTTGTATTCAATACTATAATCATAACCCAGTAATTTGGTTAAGTATTTGTGCTGAGTAGGTGTGGACACTCTTTGATCCATCAAGTATTTTAGACTGATCTGGTCAGTCCTGATTACAAAAGGTGCATGCAGTAAATAAGCTCTCCACTTTTCAATGGCAAGGACAATGGCTAAAAATTCCTTCTCATAAATGGACAATCCCATGTTCTTGGGTCCTAGCGCCTTGCTGATATAGGCTAAAGGATGATTGTCCTGTAGTAATACAGCCCCAATACCTTCATAACATGCATCAGTCTCCACAATGAAAGTTTTGTTAAAATTGGGTAGCTGTAATATGGGTACGGTGCACATAGTTCTCTTCAATCCTTCAAATGCTTTTTGTGCTTCAGCACTCCATTTAAACATTCCTTTCTTTGTCAGATTTGTCAAGGGTCTGGCCTTGCTTCCATACTGAGGACAAAACTTTCTGAAATATCCAGTCATGCCTAAAAAACCCCTCAATGCCTTGAGAGAAGATGGAGTTGGCCATTCTAGAATACATCTGATTTTTTCTGGGTCAACTGCCACCCCAGCCGCACTAATAATATGTCCCAAATACTCTATTTGTGAAACTCCAAATACACACTTGGATCTCTTTGCAAAAAGATTGTGTTGTAGCAGTAATTGAAACACTTGTCTCAAATGTGCCTTGTGAATTTCTGGGTTGCTACTGTATATTAGGATATCATCGAAGAAAACCAATACAAATTTTCCCAAATATTCCTTGAACACATTATTCATCAGTGCTTGAAAAGTAGCAGGTGCATTTGTCAAGCCAAATGGCATGACAGTAAATTCATACAACCCACTACTAGTGATAAAGGCTGTCTTCTCAATATCTTCTGGCCTCATTCTTACTTGATGGTATCCAGCTCTCAGATCAACCTTAGAGAAAATAGTAGCTCCATTCAACTCATCTAATAGATCATCTATAAGAGGGATAGGGTAGTTATTTTTTATAGTGATCGAGTTAAGTTTTCTGTAATCAACACAGAATCTCCAGGATCCATCTTTTTTCTTTACTAACAATACTGGGCTAGAGTATAGACTCTTGCTATGCTGTATAACCCCAGAAGCTAGCATCTCCTTGACTAGTTTCTCTATTTCATGCCTCTGCATATAAGGATATCTGTAAGGGATCTGTTTAAATGGTTTTTCTCCTTCTTTGATGTTGATATGGTGTTCATGCTGTCTGATTGGAGGTAATCCCTTAGGTTCTTGGAAAATTTCTTTAAATTCCTCAATCAGCTCTTCCAGCTCTTCTTGAATAGATGGTTTTTCTTCCTTTGCTACAGATGTAAACATACAAAAGAATTTGGACACCACTCCATTCTTCTTCTTCAGGAATTTATTCATCTTCTTTCCTGACATCATTCTTACTGATATATCTTGTTGTATCCCCTTGACAGTGATCTTTTCTCCTCTATGATCAAAAGTGACAGAGTGATTGTCATAGTCCAACATTATAGGCCCCAATTTTTTCATCAAATCAACCCCCATTACCATATCATAGCCTCCCAGTGGTAGCACCCTTACACTGGCTGCAAAATTGTGGCCCGCCATTTCCCATTCCAGATTTGGACATTTAGAATTGCACTCAATTTTGCCTCCTCCTGCCACCATAACTTGCAATGGATTTGTTATTTCCAAGTCACACTTGATTTTATTAGCTGTTGCTGGATCTATGAAACTATGAGTGCTTCCGGAATCCACTAATATAGTTATATTATTATTCTTCACCCTTCCTGCCAACTTAATAGTTTCAGTAGGCACATGGCCTTTTAAAGCATGCAATGATACTCCAAAGCTTGTTTCATCATCACTGTCTTGGTTCAATGGATGTTCATTATCATTTTTGTTATCTTCATCTAGCAGGATAACAAATAGTTTTCTACATTTGTGCCCCAAAGTATATGCTTCATCACAATTGAAGCATAACCCCTTCTTTCTCCTGGCTTCCAGTTCATCCTTATT